TATATGAAAATGTGTGCTTTCTCTTATGACTTGAAAGGTATATTAGACCAGGCATGATGGCACCCACCGATGTTCCCAGCACTCGGGAGGCTGAGGCAGGAAGCTTCAAGTTCAAGGCCAGCCTGGACTACATAGCAAGACCCTGTCTCAAAATAACAACAACCAAAAAAAAGTATATTAAAACAGTCTGTTCCTATACTTATCTAGCAATCACTAGCTATACCATACTCTACAGATATGAAAAAAAAGGTATTCTACCTTTGAGGGTTTAGCCTCTACAAAGAAGAAGGGCATGTTGACACGTGTACTAACATTCTTTAATGCATGCTGGGCATGGCAGAACATGCCTGTAATCCCAGTACTCAGGCAGAAGGATCTCTGAGAGTTCAAGGCCAGCCTGGGCTACACAGCCTGGACTACATAGCGAGACCCTGTCTCGAAAACAAACAAACAAAACAAAAAACAGTCTCTTTTAATGTGCCTATGCGCCTGAAGATGACTGTTGGCAAGCATAAACACTCCCCAAGCTACTTCTTACCAGGGAATCCATACCATAATACTGTTTTAATTTACAGGTAAATGCCCTGAACCTTGGAGAGTTGAGTTTTGTATGGTTTGGTTTGGTTTGGTTTGAAAGAGAGTCTTGCTATGTAGCCCAGGCTGGCCTCAGACACACAGCAATCCTCCTGCCTCAGTCTCCCGAGTGCTGGGATGACAGGTGTGCTCCGCCATGCCTGGCAGTCTTGGAGATTTTAAGAAACTTGCTGGAGTATCATAGACATATAAAGGTCAGGGAACACAAAGAGACTATTGGGCAGGGTGGATGGGGTGCCTCGGTTCATAAAAACAGATAGTGAGAATGCCAGTCATCACAAGGTCCCTCTTGCACCACACATCTCAAATGCAGCCCTTGCCACATGTCTGCTGCTGCCACCCCACCCACGTGGTGCTTGCCCAGCCACCATGGCCAATTCATCTCCCAGTCCCTTTGGCCTCCCACTGTGATACTGGCCGGCCTCTGAAAGATTTCGAAGCCAGCCTAGGCTACACAATGAGACCCTTTCTCAAAAAAAAAAAAAAATGTCTGGGTGTGGTGGTGCACGCCTATAATCCCAGCATTCAGGAGGCTGAGGCAGGAGGATTGCCTTGAGTTTGAAGCCTGCCTGGGCTATATACTGAGTTCAAAGCCATCCTGAACTACTTAGCGAGATCTTGTCTCAAAACATACAAACACACAAACAAACAAGGCAAAAACATAAAGTATATTTCGGAAAGAACTTTGCCATTTGTGACTTAAAGAAATTACTCTGAAGGGCCCAGATGAGAGGAGTACTTATAATTGGGTGACTAATGACTCACAGAAGGTCTAACCATTAAAAATGAATTTGAAAGGGGCTGGGGATTTAGCTCAGTGGCACCATGCCTGCCTTGTGAGCGCAAGGTTCTGAGTTAGACCAGTACCCACCCCAAAAAAAACTTTTTAAAAAACTGCATATAGATTAAGTGTAGAAAGTAGACTAGAGCATCACTCCAAGGTTTGGGCTGAATAGTGAGCTGATTGGCACCGCCTTCCCCAGGATGAGGACACCAGAACCAGACATGAGGTACAAATTGCACTAGGGTTACAGGTCCAGATCCAGCGCTGTGAAGTTCGAGATGGCTTTAGTCCTCTAGGCTCTGGATAAGACAAGCACAATGTGGCTCTTTAGGAAAATAAGTGTGACCTAGATTGACACAACAATGGCCTGAGCACTAGTAAGAGGAGGAAAAGGGAACTGTAAAAGATCCTGTGGAAATAAAATGGCCCAGATCTGTTGTATCTCTTAGAGAATTTATCTGAAATTTGTAAATAATAACACTGTAAGGCAGACACCGGATGGTTGCTCTCATAATAGATGAGTAAACAGAGCGAGTGGGAGCTTTGAAATTCATCCAAGTTGAACATGGTGACGCACACCTGTCATCCTAGCACTCGAGGCTGAGGCAGGAGGATTGCCACAAGTTCAAGGTCAGCCTGGGCTACATAGCCGGACCTTATCTCAAAATAATAATAATAATAAAGTTCATCCAAAATACACAGGGAATAAAGAGAGAAGTTAGGGTGGTAATTACTTATGATGAATGTAGTCACTTGTGTTTTTCGAGGACCTTGTCTCCCAGCTCCAAAGTCCCCCCCCCCCGTATTCCAGCTAGAATGATGGATGGCAGGGCTCACGGCCAATAGAGGGAGCTAGAGAGAACGGCAAAGTAGCTCTGGAGAAGAGGGACACTCTTTCCCTTCCACTTTCTTCACCTTGGCCTCAGTAGTTCCTTCCTGAAGGGGACAGCGCCCTCTCCCGGAGCTTCCAAATTTTAACACTGTAACTGCACCCTCTTCTGTCCATTCAGTCATTAGAGTCTTGTTGTTGTTGTTGGCCTTTCCTACTTAAACATTTTTATTTAAATTCTGTTTAAATGACTCTTCAGCCAGGCATGGTGGTGCACACCTGTAACCCAGCACTTGGGAGGCTGAGGCGGGAGGATCACCATGAGTTGAAGGCCAGCCTAGGTCATATAGCCAGCTCAAGGCCAGCCTGAACTACATAGTGAGATCCTGCCTTAAAAAAAAAAAAAAAAAAAAAAAAAAAAAGACTCTTCAACACACAGGGACCTACTCAGGCCAGACATTTGGACAGACTTATAAATCATGGAACAGAATTGAGGTTCCAGAAAAAAATCCACACATCTGTGGCCAAATGATTTTAGACAAGGGTGCAGATACCATTAAGTGGGGAGAGAATAGCCTACAATGCCAGGGAGTTAGCTCAGCAGTTCCACAGCCTCCCTTGTAAGCACAAGGTTCCGAATTTGATCCCCAGTACCAAAAAGAAAAAACAAATGGCGTTAGGACAACAGGACACACCTTTTGGAAGAATAAATTCCACAACGGACAGAAACACATTTTTCCATGAATTCTGTGCCTCAGGACTCTGCAGCCTTGTAAGGAAGAAGACATAAGTAAAAAGAAAGAATAAAATTCAAGGTAAAAACAGTAAGTACCAAGAAAGGAAAACTCTATTGAAGTTAAGAGGAGGGAGGGCCGTGGAGTTAGCTCAGTGGTGCCACTGCCTGCCTCACAAGTGCAAGGTCCCAAGTGCAATCCCCGGTTCCAAAAGGGTGGGTGCAGAGATGGATTTTGCTGATCCTGTCACTTCTCTACCACGCTGCCTCCTAAGGCGAAGGACTCCAGGCTGGCTCTTCTCCCTCACCGTGTGGTAAACTCATCTGGGATATTCTCAGCTTGCGTGTGGAGAGCAGTGTGGTCACACACACCTGTGATCCCAGCTACTCAGGAGGCTGAGTGCATAGTTGGAGGCCAGCCTGGGACATAGTGAGACCCCTGCCAGAAAAAAAAGCAAGCAAGCAAACAAAAAAGATCTCTCCTTGTACCTCAGACCAATTAAGTCAAAATCTAGGGGAAAAGACCCAAGCAGCAGTCATTTTTAACATTTTCCAGCTGATTCCAATGTGCAGCCTAGCTTTAACCTCGACAGTTTGCTATTGTGTTCAAAGTCCTATGCTAAACCAGGCATGGCGGTGCTCGCCTGTGATCCCAGCAAGTAGGGAGGCTGAGGCAGGAGGATCACCACAAGCTCGAGGCCAGCCTGGGCTACATAGTGAAATCCTATCTCAAAACGGGAAAAAAAATCCTATGCTAAACTTCAGTGCGAGCACATAAAATGCTAACCCATGTATGGAGGTACTCGGCTTACCAATAGCATGCTCATTTTACACAAAGAAATTTTTCCTAGAACATTTCCGTCTGCTCAAGTAGTAAAGGTTGGTTAGTCATATGAAATTATAGCTGTTTGTACCTTGTTAACTGCCCACTCCAACAGAGCTGGTGGCCTTCTGATGCGAATGGGAACTGCGAGTTCAAAGCCATTGCAAAGTTAATGATTGACCCTCTCCATCCAGCAGAAAGATGCCTATTTGATAACAGGTTTATTCTGAAAGCTCTGGGATGAGTCCAATCTCCATTCCCTTTATCTAGACTCTGAAGTTGTAGCCACCTCTCTGAAAAAGTTTCCATTTTGGAAATAACTTCAAATTTACTGAAAAGTTACAAGAAGCCAGGCGTAGTGGCACCTGCCTATAATCCCAGCACTCAGAAGGCTGAGGCAGGAGGATCCCTGCTAGTTCAAGACCAGCCTGGGCTGCACAGTGAGACAATAAAATTAAAAAAGAAAGAAAGAGAAGAAAATTTGCCAGAATAGCAAGTACAAAGAATTCCTAACCAGGTGTGGTGGTACACACCTGTATTTCCAGCACTCAGGAGGCTGAGGCAGAAGAGTTGCCACGAGTTCGAGCCTAGCCTGGGCTACATAGTAAGTTCAGAGCCAGCCTGAACTACACATCGAGACCCTGTTTCAAAAACACCAAAAATAAATAAAGAAAGAAGAATTCCCATGTACCCCTGCACCCAAGAAAGAGGATTGCTAGGTAGATCCAGGGAGGAGTACGTTTAACATGTCTCCTTACCTCCTAAATACTTCAGAACATCCTCTTTCACAACCACAGTTCAACCCACGGAGTCGGGAAATGGACGCTGACATAAGGCTATTGCCAAATCTAGAGTTCATATTCACTTTTCTCCAAAAGTCCAGTACTGTCCTTGGTAGCACTTTTTTTCCAGCGCATTTGGCGGTCCCCTCTCTTTGGTCTCCTTTTAGCTTTTCAGCCTTCCTGGAATAGGACTGGGGGGGCTGCCCGTCCGGAGTCGTGTCCTGCGTCCTTCTGGGGATGCCGCGTCAGGAGGTTCTTGCGGTCCACTGGTCCCATTACTGCTGGTGCTCAGCAGTTTCCCAGGTCCCTACTGAAATGACTAAACTCCCTTCGCCCTGTCGTTCAGACACCGGCCCGACCCGGATGAGGCTGAGAAGAGTGAGCCACGTAGGTGTGTGCAGCCACTCCTCCAGGCCCAGCGGGGAGATGCTGGTGCCTTTACAACACCCTGTCGGCTGGGTGTGGTGGCTCATGCCACACACCAGCGCTCCAGAGGCTGAGGCAGGAGGGTCGAAGTGAGTTTCTGGTCAGCCCGCACTAGAGTGAGACCCTCACTCAAAACAAATAAACAAGCGGGCATGGGCAGAGTACGTTATCCAAGACGTCCCTGGTGCTCAGTCTGTCTTGACGAAGGAACCCCAAATGCCCTCGTGTCACCCCCACTGTACTCAGAGCGAAAGGCCCGTGACGTGGGCCCTGCGGGAGCTGCCCCATCGACCTGGGGGACCTCCATTCCTGTTCTCCAAGAACAAAACAAGCTCACCTGCCTTCTTGCTCTGCCAGCTTCCCCTGCGGGCCTGGGACACTGTGTCCCAGCCAGGCACGTGGCTCCCTCCCTCCTCCGCTTCAGGTTTTCATTGCTGTTTAAGACAGGGTCTCGCTATACAGTTCAGGCTGACCTCAAACTCACAGAGATCCTTCTGCCTCAGCCTGCCCATTGCTGGGATGACAGGCATTTCGTCACCAAGCCTGGCTATTTTTACTTATTTTTTATTAGTACACGTTTGTAGCACACAGGGATGATACTGATGGTAAGGAGTAGACACGTGTACATAACACATCCTAATTCTGTTTCCGTTCTTTCCTCCCTCCCTCCCTCCCTCTCAAGAACCCCTCTCCATTTACTGCAGCTCTGTCTCTCCCATGGGTTGTCTTTTCTCTAGTTTTTTAAATTATGTATACTGTGGGTTTGCCCTATAAGAGAAGCTCTGGCTTGTATTACTGTTTTTAAAGAGAGTCTCCAAACTTCATAAGCTTTGGCACCCAGGAGACTGGAATCATCCTCTTTTCTGTTGTTGTTTCTTCGTTTGTTTTTTAAGACAGCTGGCCTCAAACTCACAGCGATCCTCCGGCCTCGTCCTCCCTGATGCTGGGATTACGGCACGTGCCACCATGCCCAGCGCATCCTCTACTGTTAAAAAGAGCAGCAGAGACAGAGACAGAGACACTTGAGCCCTGCCCAGGGTTTCCTGCTCAGGTCCTGACGCCCCAGCACTTCACACCGTGCCTCCCTGACATGTGCTGGTGCGCCCTCCTGTGGCTGGCGGTGGGAGGGAGCTCGCGTCTCCTGAGGGGGAGAGCGGTTAGGAGGAAGGGGCACTCCGCCGCGGGAAAGAAAGGCGGCCTAACGAGCTGTGGGCACGCGGGATGCTCCAGGAGGGTGAAAGTCGGATCGCGTCATCGTATGCCTCCTGAGTCTCGGGGTACAGAAGCCATCGCGGGTTCACACAAAGGATGTCCTCGACGGCTGTCGGAAAGCGCAGAGGGACCCCGGGCGCCCACTATGCGAACCGGGCAACCAGCAAGCTGGGACGCGCGGCTGCGCCGCGGGGAAGACGCTG